AAAAGTTATAGCATGAAAACTATAAGAAGCAAAAAATGGTTATGAGGTTGGTCCCATGGACCGAACCCGAGTTCAAAGAGTTAATGGTATTGTAAAGGATATTAGCAAATTATTAAAGTTTGCTGAGGGCAGTAATCCCATGGGCATTTCTATAAGTATACAGAATGATTAGATTATCCAAAAGATTAATAGGATGCCTCTGATTTTTCTTGTGCTATATTTTAAGGATAATAAAATGAGAGGACACAGTTTAGAATTTGAAAGGATAGGATAGAGTCCAGTTAATGAGACAGTACATTTTTCTCACAGGGTTATTAGCTTATAGAATGAGTTGTCATCAATAGAACTGGGTGATTAGTGTAATTTGCTAATAGTTTAATTGTTGGACTTATTAATAAATTACATTCAACAAGTGGAGTAGTCTCGCAAGATGACTAAAGGAAAACATTTATTATTCTCATATGAGTTCACCATAAAAAAAAAGCAACGACTTATAATGCTACAAATCTGGTTTTGATATCTGTGGTGGACAAAGCACAGTTAGTCTGTTATGTAGTTTTGTGCTTAACAACAAATAAAACTAATGGCTGTATTTCAATTACATAGGTAGTTGGAATAATCAAAACTAGTAATAAGTGGAAATCCTAATTTTGATTAATCAAATGAATTATAATTTCAATTGATCAGTTATTTTGTGTGACAGTAATTGATGTAATCAATGCTTATAGGTAATTGATTATATAAATTAATTGAGTTAACTGCACAGCTCCAGCTATAGGCAGTAGTGAAGGCCACTACTTTATAAGAGATTAAGAGGGGAATTTATGGTTTTCTGAAAATTAAAGGGTGGGTTTAAATTTTTACTTTTTTCAAGGGTGGGTGTGCAAGGGCAACCATGAAGGACTAAATAGTCCCTTGTTGTCTGCATATTGAATAAATAAATAAATAAATATATATATGTGTGTGTGTGTAGGCATGTATGTATGTATATACACACACACACACATAAATACTTTTTTTTTCTTTCAGAGCTCCCTTTCATGAACAAAGACCTCTTGACAGATTTAAGTTGATAATTCCGTATGGAGGACAGTCTCTGACATGTGAGTACTGGAATGTAACTTCAGGTTAAATATTTTAGAAGCCAAGAAGTAAAGTAGTTATGTGGTGTCATCTAGTTTTTGCTTTGCTTGAAGCTTTCATCATGTCATTTTTCTCTTTGCACTGAGGTTGAATGGAGTTTGGTTTGTTACTAATTAAAGCCAAATATCACTGTGTTGAAATGCCATGGACTTTAGGAATTTATTTGATACATCAGGGGATTAAGATGGATGATCTGAGATCTTGACCTTAATTTTGATCCATAACAAATGAAGAGCATTAGATACAACTAGAGTTAAAAGAAATTGATAGGACTGGGTTCAGTATCTGCCATATATTTGAGATATCAAAGTTCAGCTTTACAATGTTTGACTGTAGTTTCAAAGCTTGCTGGGCAAAGATTGGGACCTTGTTTCTACAATGGACTCCCTTCTATTGAGTTTCAAAGGTTTTATGGTAAAAATAAAGATGTATGTTTTACAAGGTACAGTACTTTTATTCAGTTTTAAATTTTTTGTGGTAGAATATGGGATTTCTGTTCTTCCAGGTGCCCTTCTATTCCTAATCTGTAAGCATTTAGCTGCTCCAAGAGTTGAAAGAAGGAAGAACAGGGTTTTCACTAGAATCCCACAGTGAAGGGTCCCAGACTCTCAACTTTTTTTTGTCAAGAGTCCTAGTGAGATTTTCAAGGGTCCCATAGGTAGAACTTAATAAACTCCAAAAAACTTTGTTTATAATGTACACTACATGTTGCTTACCCTCAACAAGTGCTAAAGTAGGATAATATGCAAGAGGATAAAATGAACAGCTTTTATATTGAAATTTTATTGTATATATTGCCCTTTAAACCATTCCAACTAATATTTGTGCCATATAAATTGCAAATCATATGGGGAATGTGCAGGTCACATTACAGTATCGAATTACGTAATACATGGTCAACTTGTGAGTGTACCTCATAAAAATTATCATTATTAATATTATTATTCATTTTACTTTATCTATCCTAAAGAGTTTTAAATTTTTACATTTTACACATGAAAAACAAGAATAAAATACTTACCTGGAGCTCAAAATAAGTAAGAAGATTCAACATTTAAAAATGCACAATAATTTATTGGATAAGTTAAAAGTAAAATATACAATTAAAAACTAAATGTTTCTGTGGAAAAGTTCCACCATCTTCAGATCTTCTTTTATGAAATCTTATGCTCAAGAATAGTCATAGAATATATTGTACCTGGGTCTTCTTTTTTTTGCTGATGACTGTTGATGAAACTTAACCCTACTTTTTCATACTAATGGTACTACTGCATTATATAATTTTTATCTAATCAAATAATGCACCAAATAACACAGAATAATAACATGCAAAAAAGGAAACGTGTTCCATACCTATCACAGTTTTTCTGGTTTTCTAACTGTGGAACAAAAGCTGTAAAAAATTTAGCTGAGACTGTTGATGTGTTTCCTGTGGGAATAAAGTTTGAATTGGATGGAAAATAGACAATTCTCTGTACAGAAAATATAATATAATATGTCATTTGATAGAGAAAAATATTGGCTTTCTATTGGTCATAAATAATATAGTCTTGTATGTCAGAGAGAACAATTGGCAAGTTGTGAAAGAGAAGATATGACAGGTAGGCAATGCAAGAGGGGTTTGATTTTCTATTTTATTGCTCTGTTAGTAAATATTGAAGGCTATGTAAATTATGCTTTGCCTAAGCAATGATAACAGCCTAATAAGTAATTTACGATAAATTTTGTACTTCTCACAGGGGTGGTTAAAAAATTAGAGAAGAGGGAAGACAAGAATAACAAATGTCACAGTTTGTTAGGGGAGATTGAGAATTTTGTCCAATATAAACATATTTATGTAATATCATATAACAGTGTTTTATTTTCTGCTTCTAGAAATTTAGTGTAATTAATGAAACAATGTTTTATGTTCTGTTTCTTGAAGCTTAATGTGATTTAATAAAACAATGTTTTATGTTTTGCTTCTAGAAGCTTACTCTGATTATTAAGACTTACTAGAACTATACATATTATAGTGCAAGTAATAAACTATTAAAAAATCATATGTATAGTACAAGAACCTTAGAAAATAAATCTTATGAAATTCCACAATATAATAATAACTATGGAAAAATAGTATAAAACACCATATATAATGAATCAACTTCCCAGGTATTTATGGAATACACACACAATTTCAGAGTTAAAAAATAATAAAAGACTGGCTATTGACTAGTGTTAATATATAAACGAAGTATCATTCATTGAATAGTAATTTATTTATATAAGATTGATATTGTCATCAATTTAACTTTTTTATTGTGTATTTAAGTGCTTGTAAGTTGTTAGTGATAATGGTGTAATAACATTATATGATGTCATGTTCTGGTGTTATGATCAATAAGATCTTAATTTCACTTATACCACAATATAATGATTTTTAATGTGATTATTATGATAGATTTGTAATGCCAATTTTGCACTTACATTCTGGAAACTCATTCTGCATCAGATCATTCAAATTTATGTATTGTATATATTGAGTGAAGTTACAATTAACATATTAATATT